TATAGAGCAAGGAAACGGTTGACAGAAGACTTGAAAAGTTGAGGGTTGTATGAGTCAGGAAAACATGAAGATGGGAGAGAGTTCCAAAGGATTGCAGTGCGGGGAAAAAAACTAGATGAATAAAAGTTTTTAGAGCATGAAGGGACAGATACAGTAAACGAATGAGACTTAGCTGAATGACGAGTAAAACGAGAATGAATTTTAGTTGATGGAACTAGAGATGATAACTCCTTTGAGCAGTGACCATGATAGTATCTGTGGAAAAGAGAAAGAGATGCAACTTTACGACGATGGGAAAGAGGTTCAAGCTTAGCAGATAGTCCAGGTCCAACAACATTTACAATGCGTTTTTGGACCTTGTCAAGAAGAGAAAGTGAATCGTTAGAAGAACCAGCCCAAATATGACAACAGTATTCCATACAGGGACGAATAAGAGATTTGTAGAGGTAGAGAATGGAATCAGAAGTAAGGAAATGGCGAGCACGATAAAGAGAAGCAACCTTAGCAGAAGCTAATTTAGCAATCGATTGTATATATGGTTTCCATGAAAGGTCAGTAGTAAGTGATAATCCAAGAAGACGTAAAGAGGACGACTCAGTAAGAGGATTGCCATTCATTAATATAGGAATGTTGACCATATTACGGTAGTTGTTTGCAGTAAGCAATTGGGTTTTTTTAGAGTTGAAATTCACAAGCCACTGTGAACCTCAATCTATTACTGAAGTGAGATCAGATTCAAGATCAGCTGCTTGTTCTAGGCGATCGAAAAGAGAAGACTTTTTGTCAAGACGGGAGTATAAAGTTGAGTCATCAGCAAAAAGAGCTACTTTAGATGAAAGGTTGTCAGCAAGATCGTTTATGTAGATAAGAAACAAAACAGGGCCCAGGATGGAACCTTGGGGAACCCCAGAAGTTACTGGAAATAAAGAAGAGTGTTGGCCTTCAAGGATGACTTTAATATTACATATATATTAAGGATGACTTTAATATTACACATATAATAAATTACACGGAGCGGACGTGTTCCGTAAGCCCATCAACAGCTAGCCGTGCTAGCTCGTGCAAAATTGCACGGAAGATGATGCGCTGTAGTAATTATTAAAGCTGATCGAATTTTGCTTTGAAGCGATTGACACTGGTAGCACTGACTACTACGTTAGGAAATGCGTTTAATGGGTGAGCGACGCGATTGTTGAAGGAATTATAGCGAACGAGGCAGTTGTTGTCCACTTCACGATGAAAGCGCTTGCGATGACCGTATCCAGGTGGGATGTTGGGTGGATCAATATGCCAGCTAATTGAGCCGATACTATTTTCGAATTTATATTTTTGAATGAGGTTGCCGCGTAAACGTCTATTTAATAGAGAGGTGAGACCGAGTTTGATGCATCTTGCCTCGTAATCGAAGCGCTTTGTTTTGTGCGGTACTTTGGTAACCCGATGCTGAACACAATCTATGGCATTTATGTCTTTTTCAAGATGCAGGCACCAGGCAGTAACTGCAAACTCGAAATGTGGGCGTATATAAGTGGTGTAAAGTGGTGTAGATGTTTGTCTTTTGATGTTAGTTTTATTTATTAAGAGATTGGGCAGAATAAGCGGTATTTTTTTGTTTTGTATAATTTGTCGAAAAGAGAAAATTTAGTTTTTTGAACATTCAAAGACGATTTGTTGCATATAAACCATTCATTTACTTTATTTAGTTCTTCATTTACTACTGTAAAAATGTTTCAGTATTTTTGTGAGAATAAAGTATTCCTTATTTTATATCTATTATTTATGTTTATACAATTTGTGAAATAAAAAAAACATATGCAAATGAATATATTAATAAAAAAAAGAATAAAAAAAAGAATAAAGAATATGGAAACTTAAAAAAGACTGTGAGGTCTGACCGCAGAGAACCGCTAAGATTTAAACTTGTTTTGGGTGTTTATAGTGATTGTGGTGTTTGTAATAATCAAATGATTGAGTAATTAAATAATAAGAAGTTGATTAATGTAAATATATACCAATGGTTTTTTAAATAAATATTTTTTCTTCATTTTTTTTTTAATTATATTTTTCATTTTCACCGATTGTAAATAAAATTTTAGAATATCACACTTTCATATTTTTTGAAATATCACACTTTCATATTTTTTGAAACATCACACTTTCATATTTTTTGAAATATCACACTTTCATATTTTTTGAAATATCACTTTTTCACATTTTTTAAAATATCACACTTTCATATTTTTACTTTCATAACTTTTGGTGATAAATCCCAACGTCTTATACAGTTCGGAAACTACAATTTTTAGAGTTTCATTTTCTTCTTGAATATATACACATTTTTGTATCCAGTTGTTCTGTTTTACAGTAAAAATTTTCAATATTGTATTCTTATGTAATTAGATAAATTCCTTGTATAGCGTTATTGTTTTTCCATTTTTTATTTTTATTTTTACCATTTTGAACTTTTCCAGTTTCCAACTGAACTAAATATTCTGTTAAAAATCTATGCAATATCTCATTCTTTCGTTTTTATTTCAATATTTTTATTTTAACTTTCATCGTTTAAGTATTTAAACTTTTTATTTGGTGTGTCATAAAGCTCTTTTTTTTCGTTCTTCGTCCTTCGTTTTTTGATTTTTCGAAAACCAGCAGGATATTTATGAGTATACATACATACATACATGACTAAACGCACATAAATACAAAAATACATGTACACATAACATTAAATAATGTTATATGCAGATGATAGCAAAATAACAGCTGATGTTAACAATAAAACTGATGCAACCGTTTTGCAAAATGACATTGATATATTAAAAGAACGGGCAATAAACTGGAAGATGCAATTTAATTTTGAAAAATGTATAACCATGCATACAGGTAATAAAAATATTAATTTAAAAAAAAAGGTTTTTGTACATAAAATACTATTTTATTTTTAATTGTTCGTTTTTTACTTGAATTTTTTACATGAATACTGTTTTTAAAACCAACCACGAACTGTTATATATTTTACTTTTATATTTTCCAATAAATAAGTTATAAAGTATACGTTTATATTACGACTCTTATAAATTCGTCCTCTTTTATTTTACTTTATTATTTTTTTAAATTTTCTTGTTTACTTTATTACTCCTAATATAAATATTGTTTGATGTTTTGAAAATGAAGTTTTTCTTAAACTAATTATTTATCTAACATTTATATTTTTTAATAAATAATTGGTAAAGTATACATATAAATTATGGTTATTGTAAATACGAACGAATGGGGCTCGGTGATAAGACAAAATAATTCTTCTACTAGCCCTGCCAGTGTTTTTTATATACTTTTAAATTGTAAATGTTATTAAACGGCGAAATAAACAAACAAAAATAAACCAGAAATCAAAGTTGAAACATCTATTGCAAACTGAAAACTTTGTATAATATCTAAATCATTTAAGTATAAACATACTGAACTAATAAAGTTGCTGTATTGCTGTTATACTCGTTCGCATTTAGAATTCACAGTGCCGGTGACCATACAGCCCTCCAACTTCAAAAAGATATCATTCTATAAATTACATTCAAAACCGAATAAAAAATCGGTTTGAGAGTTTCGTCATTTTTCATACAATGAAAGACTTGAAAAATTTGAAAGAAATTGACATCCTTAAAACACCGAAGAAAACTTTTGTACAAATGTATAAGTGTTATCAAAATATTAAGAAAAAAACTTGGATAGTACTCATGCTCTTTAAACAGCTTTCTACTAATTAGTACTGCCCAAATGGTTCACCCTAAAGAACAATCAGACGTTAAGAAAAGATGTTCAAAAAGGTTTTCCATTTTTGGTAGAGGTCTTCTTCGTAGTTGAATTAAACAAACACTTAGACAAAACTTTTTGAATGCTGTCACAAAAGAAGATGTTACATCTGAGCAAAAACATTTTGTGAACATTCAAACAAAAATTGATCATCTCGTTGTTGGCTTATCATAAGCAAACAAGATTTTCTGCATTCATAAGTGATTTTTTGCTTTATTTGGTATTTTGAGAGAATAAATTAAGCTGGGTTTACACTGAAAAAAACTGTACTATCTTCCATCAAAACTTTGTGTCTAATTTTAAATGAAATCAAATTCAAAACAAAACAACACCTTATATTTCAATAAAATCACAATGCAGTTTTTAAAAACAAGTTTTAAATTCGAAATTAGAAAAAAAAATTCATTTGAATATATTGATTTTTATTAAAATTTTAGCAGTTTTTCTCCCACGAACGAAATCGTTTGATTTTGAAATCTATACCAATGTGACCGTCTTTGTGATAAAGATTATTTTCGAGACGAAAGTTCGAATTAATTTACATTTTGTAACGTTTTCTGTTCGAAAAGATAATGAAAAACTTTTTTTTTCAAAGAATTTTTAAAAAGGTTGCAATCGGAACATAACTATTAAACTATTTTAATACGGTTCACATTACTCTATTAATATATATAGCTCAAATTACACTAAATATGTATTGATATAGTTCAAATAACTATAAATATCTGTTAATATATTTCAAATTACTTTGAATATCTAATAACAGTTTAAATTAAATCATTTATATGCAACACTGATTAAAGATAACTTCAATGATAATAACGCTCATTCGTACTGTATCAGAAATTAAAAAACTTGTTCTTAACTTTTATAACTTAATTTTTTTTTTTACAAAAATTTTTGTCTCACACACAAGAAAGTTTTAGGGATTAAGAGAAAGCGCTTTAACAACTTGGCAATTTTTTTAAACGCAAAGGAGTTTAAAAAATATCTAAGTTAAAAACAAGTTTTGTTGGCGATTTATGAACACAAACATCATTTCGATGGATTTAACTGATATTTAGCTTAAGCAACTTTATATGATTTATGGAATTTTTTTATTTTTTAAAAAGACTTGATGTATATATAAAAAAAAGTAATAAAGAAATTGGAGATATAAGTACTAGGCAATTTTAAATATTGGTAAAAAATATTGTGAGAGTATTTTATTTACATCGCAAAGAAAATAAATACGTACAAAAAAATATCAACAAAATGAGATATTCAAACCTCAAACAATTATGCGCAAAAGATATGTGGGAGTCAACCCGCATTCACAAAAATAAACTTTCTAGCGAAACGAACAAGTTACAAACATTTCAAAACATTTTCTTACTTTTGGTATTTAATAAAAGTCAATTAGAGAATTACTATATAGAATAAAAACAGAACAAACAAAATTTAGACAAATAAATTATAAATAGTTAAAAATAACCTAAACTTTTGATTTGACTTAAAAATATAATTTCAAAAAAAATTTTTAAAAACCGAGATCGTTCTCTAGCCATTGACCAGTTAACATTTCAGAAACTTCCGGCGTTGTATAAAGATCCGGAAGTCCATCAGTAAAACGAGCAAAATTTATCAATAAGTCCATATCTTCATGATATAGGGAATTTGAATTGTTCTTTCCAGAAAAAGAATCATAGTTATAAAACGATTCAGAGTTATATTCGTCCGGTGGTGTACCACAACAATCTGGTACAACAGATGGTGGTGATAATGTTGAAGGAGGAATATCTATACATTTTTGAGGTGATACTGTTATGTTGCTTAAACTACCAATCTGACCAACTTGTCGTGATATGGTAACAAAAGTCTTATTAGGGGGCGCTTTATTGTTTTCACAACACGCTACATTGTTTGTATATTTGCTTTTATCCCAATCGTCATTTCTTCCGTTTGTTAAAGTGACAATATTATATTCACAAACTTTTGAAAAATTCTTTAATTCTTTGGCTGCCAATTCTTTAGCCGCTAGTTCTTTAGCTTTCTTCTTTGGCCGATATTTATAATCAGGATATCGTCGCATATGCTCTTCCCTTAATTTCTCAGAACGAATTACAAAAGGTCTGCGGTCAGCATCGGATAGCAATTTCCACCGTTTACCTAATAAAACACCAAACTATTATTAAAAATAATGTTTGAAGATTTGTTAACTGTTTAAAACATACTTAAAAAAACCCCGAAATATTCATTCCGCAAATAGCAACTTAAGTGCCGCTAAGATTAAAAGGCAAATAAAGTTTTAATTTTTGAAACGTTTTTAAAATGTTCCATTATATATATATATATATATATATATATATATATATATATTATATATATATATATATATATATATATACTTGTGTTATTTAATAAGTTAAATATTTTGGATTAAGATTAGAACGTTTTTAATCCTGTGCCTTTACAGCATGAACGCTGTAATTTAAAATTAATTACGTACCTAACCGCCTACTTATTTCGGCATTGTGCATATCCGGATATATATCGGCCATTTTTTTACGTTCTATCTGAGACCATACCATAAAAGCATTCATAGGTCTTTTCACATGATCCATACTAGATTTTTTTTTATTTCCGCATCCCAATTGAAAATCAATGTTCAGTTCTAAAGGATTCAGGTGTTTTATATCTCCATCTTGTGGTTCAGGTGTAGGCAATGCTCCTGACATAAAGTAATCCAGTCCGAAATCAAGCTCCATTATTGCATATATATTTTTTTGAATGTTCTACTTGGGATGATTGTTAAAGCACACTGATTTAAACTTAGCGCCGTAAGTAAGTTCAGTATTCTCCAAACATGCTTTTTAAAAAAATTTCAAAACTGTCATACTAAAAGTTCTTAGCCAATTAAAAGCGTTCACCATTATAAAAGTAAGAATCTAATTGGTTATTTTTTCTTTGATCTTATTGGTTAACATTTAATAAAAAAAAAAAAAAAAAAAAAATCATTGTAAACAATTTGAATTAGTTTTGATATTGGCAGGTGAGCAGATAATATAATGCAAGTATTAAGGATAACATATTGTCATTATGTTATATGTTATGGAGATTTATTATTAAAGCATATATTTTGAAAAAGTAACATTAAGTAATAACATATTAAATTAACTCATATTTTACCTTTAAAAATGTATTAAAGCAAATAAATATATTTAAAAACTTTTATAAAAAACGAAGTTCTGTTTGATAAAATTTAGTTTCTTGTATACACCAAAAGTTTAACAAAAACATTTTTAAAATAAAATTTTATTTAGTTTAAAAGTTTACATAGAGTTGTAAACAACTTCATAGTTTCCAAATAAAAAATGTTATAATTTTTTCTCCGGCTGTGAGGAGGTTAGGGACTTTTGGTATAAGTAAAAATTAAATTTTTTTTTTCTCGACATACAACGAATATATACAAATGTTTGTTACAGCATGTAATTGTATAGAATTTAAATAGATTGCATCAATCTATTTATTAATATCGATTATAAAAATTTCAAACTTAATATTATTTCAAAAAGTTGCGGGTGTAGTTGTTAGTAAACGGTATACACTCACAGTTACTAAGCAATATATACATATATAGTTTTAGCGCTATGAAGGAATTATGCACTCACTTGTAGCGTATGTAACAATTCAGCAACCAGATAGTTAAAAATCAACAAATACTAAGATTCTAATGAATGGAGTTTTAAAGAAGAAAAAAACAATACATTTAAAAATAAAAAAGACAATTGAATCTTGAAAATCTTTACTGAGTCCTATACGATTTTTGACTTTCTTGTATTATAGTGCATATGGCGCAAAAGCTATTCCGAATATAAAGTGTTTCCAATATGCTTAAAAAAACATTAAATTGTTCTTTTACAAAAACATTAAGTGAACTAAAGTTATACAAAGTGTATTTGCTAACTAGTGAAGTTATACAAAGTGTATTAGCTCACTGGGCAATACAAAGAGTATAACGCGGAAAAGAAAATATTTGTAGTAAGCTGGTAAACAAACAAACGTTTCAATGAAATTAAGAAATGACAATATAAATATTTTTTAAAATGGGTACAACTTATTTTTGCAAAAAATTTAAAGAAAATTTTTATTTCCCAGAAATACACTAAAATTTATCTGAGATATGTAGAAATATCTATTTTCTTTATAAGAAAAAAGTTATTAAATATTTAAAAACTAACTTTTATAACAAAAAAAAAAAAAAAATTATTAAATTGTATTTCTTCCGATTGTTCACCCTCTTTTGTTATAATTTGATTGTTAAAAATTAACAATAGGGGAACCGCCAACAGAGTTACGTATTTAAAAAAAAAAATGCTGTGACATGCTTTCAAAAACAATAGCCCGACATTAGGAGTTTTGGAAGAAAAAAGATTATATAATCGATTTTATTTTTAATTTTAACTTTTTAGTTCAATTCCTCAAAATAAAACATGTGTCCTTAGAATCGCGCTCAATTGTCTATCAAAATAAGCGGAGCTTCAATAAACAAATATTTGAAAAGTTACATATGGCGGTAAAAACGCTGGAAAAACTTGAGAAAACTATAATATAGATTTAGGCACCTAAAAAACGAAAACATTCCAGATAAACGCGGTAACACCAGGCTATGTTTCGCATGAATGATATTTTCCCGGTGAAAGACTCCTGGTGGTCTCAAACATTCTACATTCAGCACATTAGTTTACTCAAGCGTAAAGCAGTAAAACTAAAATAAATAAAAACAAATTTTTATTTTTTAAATTTAATTTAAATTGGAAAAACTTAATTTATAATTTGAAATGACGTTTGAATACTTCATCAATGATGATCGTTCTTTTCATCGGCCACTATGAGAGATTTCGGCGAGTAAAGTAGAACGTAGGCGCAGTGCCAATCTCCTAAACAAATGTTAACAACGATAAAAAACAAAATTTATAAAAAATTATGCAATTTAAAATTTGTAAAAGAAAAAAATAAAGTGTCGAGCGAACAAAAAAAGAAAATGTTGAACAAACACAAACGTTTTTATAAGAAAATGTGTCAAGGTTTGAGTGCTGAAGAACTCGAATAATTTATAAAGAAACTACAATATCAATACGCAACCGCATGTTTTGAAAGTGGCGATTTCGTAAAATATTTGGGCGCAAATATTTTCTAATCATACGTGATATACGATATACAAAACTGAATTATGCTGCATCTCATTTGAAATATTTTTCTTAGCTGTCAGTTGAAGTAATTGAAAATATTATATATATATATATATATATATATATATATATATATATATATATATATATATATATATATATATATATATATATATATATATATATATAATGATTACATTAAAATGCAGTTATCTGAAAGGTTCAGTTAATTAAATGAAAATATCTGAAAGATATATGATGGCATTTGAAAAATTATATTGATAACAGTAATATGAAGTTACGAAGTTCTCAAAAATTGAACTTTTTAATATGCAATTATTTGAAGAACTAAGTGGCTTTTTGGGAAAAAAATCTTCCCGTAAAGCAGTTCAATCGAAAGCAACTTACTAATAAAAAAAAACCGTGATAAACGTAATAAATTTTATTACTTTTGAAAAACTTTTCTAGCAGTCATCTAGCATCATTTCCATTTCCTTGCTTTAAGTCACCATCATTTCCTTGCTTTATGTCACCATCATTTGAACCCATTTTCTTAAGGAATTCGGATTGGCTTTTATTTTTTTGTTTATCGACTATTTCTTTCTTTTGCTGACCTTACAAACAAAAATTACTAAACGCAAAATTCGTCGCAAATTCACAAGTTTCATGCAAATCAATTAAACCACACATTTCATGCTAATTAGTTATTTCAAAATTTTGAAGCAATTAGTCCACTAGATGAAATACAAAAAATCACAAGGAACCTAATTATTAGTTTAAAATTATTTTACAATTTCCCGTATATGATGTAATATATGTTGAAATTTACGCTGTAATATGCATGCTATAAATGTTTGAGAACCAAATTTTGGTAAGTCGCAAATTATCGCGTTGGTTTAACATTGTTTTAACTGAAAATTTTGCCAGAACTGAAATTTATTGTGATCTAGCTTAAATCAAGTGAATTACTAATGTACTAAAGTTCTATCAGCAGGTTTAGTTAACTAATAGTTTGGTTCCAACCCTAACCCTTTAATTGCACGTCGTTGTCCATGCTAATATAATCTTTTTACTAAACTCCTTTAGGAGTTTAGACTAATAAAAAATATTTTACTCAGGATACTTTTTGAGTTAATTCTGTTTCTATATTCTATAAACTGAAATCTATTATCTAATTAAATATTAGTTCTATAAAAAGTAGGGATGTACCGAAGCTAAGATTTTGCCGAAGCCGAAGATTCGGCCGAAGTAACTCTGCCAAAGCCGAAGCTTTTGGTAAAATATAGGTAAAATTTGTTGTTTTGCAGATTTATCTATCTAGGGATAATATTATTTGCTTAAAATTTTTTTAACATTTTACTCCAACTATTTTATGTATTGCCTATTGAAAATTTAAAATATTAAATGCAACCAGACTCGTAACTACATGAAGACACGGCCTGTATATAGCTGTTTCTGCTTGCAGTTATCTTTCTATAATATAAATATAACATAATTTTGTCTACAGGCAATTCTGGTGTGCAAATAAACTTGTAAATAAATTTCTAGTAACAGGGCTGAATGTAATAAAATAATTAATTTGAAAGTTAACATCAATTTTTAATTAAATTTGTAATAAATTTAACAAATACCAATTTTATTTAGATATATTTTATTCGTACCATTTTCCTTTTAAATTTTGAGTTTTTCCTCTAGGGTATTTACTATTATACTTTTTTCCCCCTCCATCAGTGTTTTCACATTTCTGTGAAGCATTCTCATTTATACACATTTGGTCTAAAAAGCTGTATTTTGATTATTATTTTTTATTTACGTCAATATAAAGCTGTATATACTATTATATATATTTAAATATATATTTTTTGATTTGACCATCATGATCAGAGAACAAAATCTTCTTTTGCTTGTTGTAAATGATCCTTTACAACAAGTAAGCAAATTTTATATTTTAAAATATATATAAGGGTACTACCGCTATCATTTAGAGTATCGATTCTCTAAGTAAAAGCGATAGTAGTCTTGGTATAAAATATCTTTAAGCATACTATTGTTTGTTTCTTTAAAAAATTTCATTTGAAACGGGGTTTGAGCACCATTGATTTTTTCAGACAAACATTATCTTTGTATTAAAGCAAATGACTTTTAAAATTTTTTAAGTTCATCAACAGTTTTGATTCCAGTTGATTTGTCCCAAGCATAGTCAAGAAACGGTATGATCTCTGATGTGTCTGCACTCTTACCTTTTGTCGCGCTTTTTAAGTGTTTTAGTATGCATACAATTATTTCAGCATGCTGCCATTGATTTTCTGTAGGTTATCCGCTTCTTTAATTATAAAACCATGAATTATTCATGTTTTTGAGTGGTGATAAGAAATAAATTTTCTAGCGTACGTTTCAAGCGCAAAAAAACTAAATACAAATTATAGTGAAAATAATTTTCAGTAAATACAACAACGGAATAAAATTAAACATAGAACTTAAATTAAATATAAAAAACACCCATTAATTTTGATAAGCAGGCAAACAAAAAAAATTTAACTATATAGCTAAGTTTGCGGCACGTCGCAATTAATACTATGTATGCTGCGGCATACGTCAAGGAATCAAAGTAAAGGAGCAATTTACAAGTAATAGAATTGTAGTGTAAAGTAACCATATTGTAAACAATAAAATAATTTTATGTTTAATATAACAGTAGCTTATTTCCTTTAATCATCTAAATAAAATTCGCCGAAGCCGATGCTTCGGCAAAAACTGAACCTGGCTTCGGCCGAAGCCGAAGCTTCGGTACATTCGTAACAAAAAGACTTTTAGTCCTAAAAACCGGCAAGGGAAATAACAAAACGTTTTCTAAACACGCCAACTGGGTTAAAGCTTCAAAACATACTAAGTCAGAAGCCAATCAGGTAAGCGATTAGTCACGTTATTTTTTTTTAACAACCAATGAAAAGTCTTTTTATACTAATTATTAGCGCCCTTTTTCTTGGCGCATCAAATTAAAAATTTATCACTTAATACAAAATGGTTGAAATTAGAGAAAGTTTTATAGCTGTTTGAGAAAAAAGCAAATAACCGTCTTACTATGGGAAAGAAAACATTTACTTTGTAAAGTATAAGTAATAAATCTTTTAATCAACGCGAGCCATATATTTTTTTATATCTATATTTTATTTTCTATTAAGAAAAGTAACGGTGCAGGTGAACTTGATTCACGTGCGATTAAAACGATGATTTATTTTAGCCGTCGTTTAATGGAATTTAATAGTTTATTTCTTTTTTATAGACCCTGAAGATGAGGAAGATACTATATTGTTTTCATTGTACAACATTTTCTTTAATCAACATTTTTAATACAAAAACTACAACTTTTACCATAGTGTTTACCATTTGTTTGTGCCCATTATTTTATACTATTACTTTTTTCAATAATTCATGAAAATTCATGCTTTTCCTTTAAATTCATTTTGATGCTTTTTTAAAACAAAACAAACCTTGCATGAATTCAATAAAGCTTATATTTATATAAACATATATAGTTTTTTGTAAACTAACCTTTTTCAAAATAATCTAAGTCCATCTAAAATTATCAAAATAAGCTAAGTCAATAACTTAATCAGTTTTATTTCATGACCCTATTGATTTGCATTTTTTCCTATGCGCATACTTTATTTGTTTTTTTATTTCACTACACTAAAGTAACTTTTACTAACAAATTTTTTTTTGAGCGCAAAATACGTGTGGGTCAGTTTTCCTTCACTATCTCAAAATCAATTTGCTCGAAATGGGCTCCTCATTTAGTTGTTTTAAAAATTTTGTTTTCCATAAATGGAAATTAGTATTATTCATGTTATTATCATTATTTTATTTCTGTTCATTAAATGACATTTTAGAAATATATTTTATTAAAAACCTACATTTATTCATAGAAACTACGTCGTGTTTCATAAGTTTTCATACGTTAGCGATTATTTCTTCGTTTCGAAAAAAATCTTTTATTCTTTCAATAAATATAAGTTAAAACTTAATATGTTGCGATACTGAAGATAACAGTTCATTACGAACATTTTGGTATATAAAGACGTTTCACTTTTATAGAATAAAACTTTTAGCGCTAACGAAAACGCTAGTTTTGCAAACGCTACTTTCGTAAGTAGCTTAAGTGCCATTCCTAATTTTTTTTTTTCTCTTCCGGAATCGTTCGAAATCACTTTAAAAATATTCTTTTTTTATTACGTCGCATAACTCAATCTAATTACTGTTGCGCAACAAAAACTTTTAAAAAAGTACTACAAGCATGAAAAAAAAAAATTGACTTGATGAACGAAGTTTTTTTTAATTTTTAGATAATGACAACTCTATTTTCTCACAAACTTACCATTTGTACATTTTACTGCATCTATCCTTAACGGTCTGTCAATGTAAGTACAGTTTACTGTGCCTAAACCTAATGTTCAGTCGATGCATGTCCGTTTCCCTTCGCTTATCACTAACGGTCAGTCAACGAATGTACATTTTTTATGTCCAAAAGTTGATGTAAAAAGTTATAAAAGTTGATGTAAAAATTAACTTATTACATCAAATATGATAGTAATATTCAAAAATTAATCAATCTGTAATAAAACGTTTTGATAGCAACGATCACCCTCCTCTAAACTTTTACTATTACAACGATCACCTCCCTCTAAACTTTTGTTATTTGTACGATCACCCTCCTGTAAACCTTTGTCAATTTTTTGCAAAATGTTCTCCTTTTATTTATGGTTTGTTATTATATTTTCAAAATGATCAACTATTATTAAACGAACCTACTTAACCATTTAAATATTGTTCTTTTTCTAGAAATCGTGTTTTAATCAAGGCTTTAAAAAAATTCTGAAAACGAATACCTAAACCTGATCTAATGAAAGAAAAACGACATTCCTGGTAAAAACTATACAAGTCGAAGAGAAAGCAAATATCATAAGTTAATAAAAAAGCCAGGCTAACTGTAAGTATAAATGTGCAAAGAAAATATCAGAAGATAAGCGGAATTATAATTTTGAATCATTTTTATTATAAAAATTCGACTAAAAATGAAATAATGGACAATTACGAATTGCATGTAAACTGGATAAACAAATACTAAAAATAAAAATTTTAAATTTAAACTTTTTTCCTATATCTTAAAGATTCGTTTTTATGAAACTTTTTTCTTTTAAAATATGAAAACTTACCTCCCCCAGAAAGCTTTAAAATATCTTCAGATGTAACTGCATATACATTGTCATCATCGCACATTAGCCATTCATCTAATCCTAAGGGGTTAAGGAAACTTAAATATATTGTTAAATAAAAAGAAATTGAAACTCACTACACAGTAGGGTCTATAATTTATGTATTTAATCAAAACTTTTTATTTATTAACATTACAATGTAAAATAGAATATAAAGTTTGGATCTTAGGAAACACGACTATCCGAAATTCATAGTTTTCAGTTTACTATATTTCTATATTTAAGTTTTCAGATTTCTATACTTCTCTTTTAAGCGTATGAAAACTAAGATATGCCAAAATATCGATATTATTGAAATTGGACAATGATCTGGATAATGCATTTTAAGAATTTAACTGCAGACAAAATGTATAATAAATTTTTATGAATTCATTCAAATATCATAACCTTTTATACCACAACAATCTAGAACTCATAATGCCAATAGATCTCCCTGGATCACACGAGAAATTAAAGATTTAGTGTGTATCAAAAGGTGACTATGGTTAAATTTATATTCAAAGAACAATAGACAGGCTAAATCCAAAATAATATACAAAGCAGTGTGGAAAAACTTAAAGAGTAAAGTTCTAGAAGCCAAATGCTCATTCTAAAAGAATCTTGTAAGAAAATCAACTCACAATCCCAAACTACTATTTAAATATATTAACAGCAAAAACAATTTAAAAAATACCACCTTTAACATCTAATAATAAACTAATTAAAGAATCTAACCAAATAGATAATATTATGAATGATCACATTAAATCAGTCTTTACCAGGGAGAATACCAATAATTTACCGATTCTAAAAAATTACTTTTTGTTTTACCCTTGTAAGGTAATAATTGATAATATAATAACTGTCAAATTAATTAAAGAAAAACTTCTTCAGTTAAATGAATATAAAACTCCAGGACCAGACATGGTAAAATAAAAAACTAAAACGATGTGCATCTGCCTTTGCTTTATCGCTCGCTATGATTTTTGAAAAATCCTTCAAAACTGGAAGAGTACCAATTAAATGGAAATTAGCAGACATAACCCCAATATTTAAAAAAGGGAACAGGTTAATTACTAGCAATTAAAGACCAGTTTCATTAACCTCAATAGTATTTAAAGTACTCAAAAGTATTATATCCGACAAAATATATAAACATATGTCAAATACTGGTTTATTAAATTTATTACATCAACATAGATTTGTAAAAAGGAAATCTTTATTAACAAATTTAACTGAAACAATGGATCTTTTGAGTAAACCGCTAGCGGAAAACATTCCAGTAGATATTTTTTATGTTGACTTTGCTAAAGCCTTTGACACGGTACCTCATGAGTAATTATTAATCAAACTTAAGTCATATGAAATTTCAAATGTCATATGCAACTGGATTAGTGACTTTTTAACTAGTCGATACCAAAGAGTGATACAAGGCAATGAAGCATCAAACTAAGAAATTATAACAAGTGATGTTCCCCAAGGATCGGTAACTTCCCCAATTTTATTCGTTTTATATAACACTCTAAGCTCTTTGCAGATGACACCAAGTTAATCAGGAAAGTAAATAGCTCTGAGAATGGTCAACTGCTTCAAAATAAAATTAAGCAAGCCTGTGAATGGTCAGAAACCTGGCAATTATAGTTTAATAGTGAAAAATGTTGTATTATGCACTTTGGAAAAAATAACCTTCATTATATTTATAACTAGGTGACAAAATATTAACCAAAAAGATTTTACAATGTCATCAAATCTCAAATGGAAAAGTCACATAACCAATTGTACATCAAAAGCTTATTCAATGTTTGGAATGTTGAAAAAAATATTTCAATACATCAACAAAAGAATGTTTAAGATACTATACGTAACATTTATAAGACCTCATCTTGAATTTGCAATACAAGCATGGTATCCATACCTTAAAAGTGATATTTTAATACTTGAAAATGCTATGCCACTAAATGGAGACCCTCGATTCAAAAACATTTATGAAACAAAAAAAAGTTATGAAACAAGAATTAAAACACTTGACTTAAGCATACTGGCATTAAAGAGGCGACTTAATTCAAATGTACCTATTTAAAATAAAAAAATAAAAAAATGTGTTCCATCATTTTACAATACTTTTTATTTCATGGAGAAAGATCTCTGTTCAAATGTTCCATCATTTTACAATATTTTTTATTTCATGTAGAACTATATTGTAATACATTTGCCTCGTTTCAGCAACACAAGAGGCCATAACTTCAAAATCAGAAAAAAAAAAAAGTTGTTAAAAACTACAATGTCATCAATTCTTAACTAATGGAGTCTCATCAATGTGGAAACTTTATCATCCAAAGTGAAAACTTGAACTTATTCAAAACTCGCATTGTATATCTAGATATATATCTAGAGCTATACAATTATATGATTTTATATATGATTTTATATTATATATGATTTTATATTATATATGATTTTATATTATATATGATTTGTAATTTATAATTTGATTTATTTACCTAGACTCTAACTACACACTTTAGAGTGTAGTTAGACTTTATCTAACTACACAATGTATATGCTGTCAAAGTGAAATTAATTTCTATTAATTTCACTCATAGTTTTCAAACCACTACAGCATTCTATTATATTATATTATATATTACAAAAATAAAAATATTGATATTTTACAGAGATAAAAATGTTGATATATTACAGAGATAAAAATATTTATATAGTACAGAGATAAAAATGCTTGAACATACGTGTTAACATTTTTATTTTTGGCTCTTGCCTAAATTTTAAACAGTTTTTACTAAAATCTTCTAAACAGTAAAAGCTACAATATATTTTTAATTACCTTCTTGTTTGCGTATCCATGCAACATAATGTCCAGATGACGAAGAACGCCCACGATGTGTGAGAACAGCAGATAATTCATAGTAACCACTGTTGTTTGATCCAATATCTTGAAGAAAAACAAGTCTGCTTAACATTTTAAATATCTTGAAGAAAAATAAAACAAGTCTGTTTAACATTTTAAATAAAGTTAAATTTAGTTATAATTACTTAGACAGAATAATCTATAAACTTCTGCATATGTATGTGTGTATGTATGAATAACAGTGAAATTTAACAATACAAAAACATAACAAAGAGCATAAAAACATAACATAAAGAAAATTATTTAAATAAATCATCATATCTATATATAGAGAGAAATAGATGTATACCCTACCATCACTAAATTCAAACGGAAGTTTTTTATTATTAGCAGCAATTGAAATTTGTAACAGTTTCTAAAGAAAAAAATTTTATTTTATAGTTTATATTTTTCTAATAAAGAGGATTGTTTTTCTAATAAAGAGGATTTTTTCTAATAAAGAGGGATGCCCTGATAATATAACATTTAAAAACAAATTAAAAAAAAAAAAAAATTAAAACAAACAAATGCTGGTAGTAAAGAAATATTTCTAAATACTTTTATATATCCTTTACTAATAAATATTTCTAAATACTTTTCTAAAATCTTTTAATCAAATTTATGACTCAATTTGTTAATGACTTGTTTTTTACTTGATATTTTATTATTTATTATTTAAAAATGAAAAACTCTAAAAACTAAGGTATCAATATATTAATAAAATTGTTGTTATTATACAATAGAAATAATTGTGTAGCAAATGTGTTCCAACATTTTACAATACTTTTTATTCACAGAGAAAGATCTCTGTTTAAATGTTCCATCATTTTACAATATTTTTTATTTCATGGAGAAAGATTTCTGTTATAAAGTTTAATAAAATAAATATTCATGTTATGATGAATGACGAATATATGAACTAATTTTTTCTTGTAGATAAAGAGCATGTTCAAAGTGATATTTGAATAAAAACTAAAAAAGTACAGATTTACATTATTTTGGAAGATAATCTAAGCTAAGTTTTCCATAAAGTCACTTTTCAATTAATTCCATAAAAACTACTTCCATACTACATGATACTAATGATACTAATGATGAACTTGGATAGCAAATTTGGATGTTTTTTTTTTTTTTTTTGACCTCCATGTTTACTAGCTAATGTAATTTAATTGATTCACTGCAAAGTACACTGTTGACACAGACTTTTTTTTATTAAAAAGCTAGCAAAATAAAATTAAAAAAATAAAAATGCGGATGTCTAATAGATTGTTTCATAAGAATTGCAACATCTGTTTTAAAGAACATTACTTATTTTATTGTCTTTAAAAAAAGACAATCTGTTTTAGTTTCTTTTTTGTACAATACATTTAGACTTCCTTGTTTCTACTGACAATAACAAAAAGACATTCTGGTAAGCTGCTCAAAATTGCTAAACAATCGGTCTGTGATTCCATCCTCCTTTGCTCCATATATTTCAAAAAAAACTTTTTTAACAATCTTGGTTGAAGCGAGATCTGTAAACACAAGGAACTCCTTCCAAGAGAAACTTCTGACATAATTCCATTATACTGTTTAATGTAACAGTTAACTCCCAATAACTAGCTATCTTGGATTGGGATTGTACATCACAAAACTTCCATTCTTAATCCAAGTTTGAAATTCTCTCAACAATATTATGTTATTTCCATTAGTTATAATAGCACAACAAGCATCACCATGAAGCTTTCTTAAATTTAACAGATAAAAAAGAATATCCATTTATTCAACAAATTGAGCAGTTGCTCTTATTGTCGATGATAATATATTTGCAACGAAATACAAAGACAATGCTGTGGCAACCTGATAATTAATACTTGCGTGGCTAGATTAACTCTCATTTTTAGAAATGCTCCAGGATCGATGTTAGTCAGTCAATTTTTTTGCCAGACGGATAGGATTGCATTTGTTAGGATTGCATCTCATACAGCATTTGAATGTGATGCCATGAAACTATATTACCATCAATATCAATGTTATGTTGCATAAGATTATTGGGAACACTTTTAATTAAATGAGGGGGATCAAAAATAATATGAATTTTTGAAAGACGGATGTTGAAAATAAGATTTTATTTTTGAAAATCAAGGATTTTAATTGCTGCAATATTAGTTGATCCTTGATCACACACAATACACCGAACTAACAATCTACAGTCCTGAGCTAACAATCCAGTCCTGAACTCTTGATATAGTTTCTTGAATAAACTTAGCAAGATTAACTGTTGAAACAGTTGAGTTATAAGTTTAGTTACAAACACTGAAAAAATATGCAATTGGTTGTTTCCATTTAGTAGCAATACCTCCGATAATAAAATGTCTGATTTAGTGGTTTCTTGTTCTTTATTCCAAAAACATCATCCACACTTTTATCATAACTAAGTGTTGTTTAAGTGCCATCTCATTCAATACTAAACTGCAATTAAGATCTTGTTAATTCATGTTATTAACACAAAGTTTTACTAAACAACTTTTGTGAGAATCCAGTTTGCATATGGCCATAAGCTCTTGTTGAAACAATTTCAATGTGGTGCGACTTGGTAAAGAAAAGATATTACTTAAAATTTTTTAAGTTTGTGGGCTATGAAAAAAAAACTCTTAGCCCAAGTAATTTATCAGATATCAAATGGTTTCCTTTTTTATGGCGGTAACTCATTTTTTGTTTGATTAGTAAAACATTTTTGCTGATACAGTGTTCCCACTATTAAAACTAAGGCTAAAATTAAGGATTTTAAGGAGATTTAAGGAGATATTTTCCTAATATTTAATGAGATTTGGTCGCGAACGACATTTTTTTGAAAGTAAAAGTAATGATAATTGAGGAGAAAACGATTACATTAAAAACATAATCTTATTTTTTTCAATAAATTTTAAAGATAAACAGAGAAATTATTATTACTTTATATATATATATGTATAAATATTAATATATATATACATACATATATATATATATATATATATATATATATATATATATATATATATATATATATATATATATATAAAGTATATATATATATATATATATATAAAGTATATATATATATATATAAAGTATATATATATATATATATATATATATATATATATATATATATATATATATATAAAGTATATATATATAAAGTATATATATATAATATATATATATATATATATATATATATATATATATATATATATATATATATATATATATATATATAATAAATAAATATATATATATATATATATATATATATATATATATATATATATATATATATATATATATATATATATATATATATATATATATATATATATATATAAATAGGTTTAAAAACTATCAAAAATCTATATATTATCTTCTTTATTAACAAGTATATTTCATTCACTTTTAAAATTTTTCTAGATGAATTAAAAAAATAAAAAAATAAGGAGAAATTAAGGAAATTAAGGAGAGCAATCAAATTTTAACTTTTTTAAAGGTTATTTAAGGACATTTAAGGAGATTTTTATTTTTTAAGGATATTTAAGGTTTTTAAGGAGGTGTGGGAACCCTGTGATCATCAGAAAGAAAGTTTTTAGATAAATTTAAAATATGATTGAATTATTGTAGTTTTACTTTTTTATTAATTTTTTTTTTTTTTTTTTCAGCATATGGTAACACTTGATGTATGCAATGAATTTAGAATTTTTCTATATATTTTTTTACTTTATTTTATTTTACACTTTCTTTATTGGCTGTAGTATTTTTAATTTTACTAACTTTTTATTTTGTATTTTTTTAATTTTTCAAGACAAAGGATTTCTTATAGCAGGTGGTTTTCTTTTTCGCCTACAGATGGTGATGGATTTGGAACATTAAATACTGTAGGGATGGCATTATAAAGAAGGCGTCTTCCTCTATTGTTTGTTAAATAGTACATTGTATCTTCAAAATGATTACTACACAAACAATATTGTTTGTTCAAAATTTCAACAGACTTCCCATCAAGATCTCGTCTACATTTTATAACTCATTTCTTGCAACAAAATAAGAATAACATTAATAAGATATACTTTTCCTAATTGTTTAAAAAAAAACAACTAATTGTTTTATAATTAAATTATATAAATTAATCAGTAAAATAACTTAATAAAATTAAAATCAAAAACTTCGGCCAATTCCAAAAGAAAACAAAAACACTTCAGTTTGAAAAGTTGCACAATGACCTACTTTAATTTTGTGTTTCAAAATGTTAGAAAATAATAATAATAATAATAATAATAATAATAATAATGGTAATAACAATAACAATAACAATAGTGTTAAGGACAAATTATATCAATTAAGCACTTAAAACTTAATAAAGTTAAATACTTACCTATTTTTGTTTCTTGGAAAACAAAAAACTGACACATTTTTATCAGCTACTCCACTTGTATTTGTGCAGTTAACTGCTGCACAATACAAAGACATTTCTTTATACTGAAAACTTTTATTTATTGAAGAAAAAACGCAATATAATATATAAAAAACACTTTACAGTTTCATCCAAATTTATTATGAGAGTTAATTTTTATACTACCAGAACATCCCATAATGCCTTGCGCATATGATTACACTTTAAACAATGTAAATATAGGAGTCAACAACAGTTGGTTCCAGCCTCCATTAAAATTATATATCTTAATTACATATCTTAATAACTATAGATTTAAATCTTGTTTGCAACTATAGATTTAAATCCCTTGCTCTAATATTTCATCCACCACTGCTCTAATGTTCCATCCTCCACTGCTCTAATGTTCCATCCTCCACTGTAATCATAAGTTACTCTATATACTATAACTATACTTACATTTTGACATTGTAAAATTAAAGGTCTTTGTCTCTACTTGAATTATTGTAGACACTGTAATTAAAAGTCTTTGTCTCTACTTGAATTATTGTAGACACTGTAATTAAAGGTCTTTGTCTCTAGTTGAATTACTATAATTGAAGATAATATAATTGAAGATTTTTTTTACTGTATTTAAATATTTGTATTACAAAAATATTTATTGGCAAACTTAAAATTTTTAAAATTTGATATTAAAAAAATTTGTTGTAATTTTTTATTAAAAAAACTTTTTCTAATAAATTATCAGAAATCACTAGAAAAAACATTTTATAATATTTCTATTTGTATTTATAAGAACCCCCTCCTCCTCCCAATTTATTTATTTAATAAAATAAAGTTATAAAATTAAAAAGCTTTTTTATGCTAAAAAACAAGTGATATTAAAAATGTGTCATTTTAATATTTATAAAAATAAATTAATACAAATTAAGAAACCAAAGAAAAATCATTGAACTTAAAATTACTCCATAATAAAAAAATATGTAGAACTTAAATTCACTTCATAATTAAAAAGTTTGTAGAATTTAAACTCACTTCATTAGCTCTTTTATCTTCTTCTTCTTTAAATTTATCACGCATTGGTTTTAATTTTTCTTGTAATTCTGAACTGCAAAGTTCAAACACATCTAATGTCATTGGAAATTTTATATCCTAATTAAATATAACGTATTTTAATATATAACTTTTAATATATAAATTTTAATATATAACTTTTAATATATTAAATTTTAAAGCTGTAAAAATATATTAAAAATGTACTTTTAATATATTAATCTTTATAGCTGTAAAAATAAAACTGTAATACCTTTAATATTTTTGCATTAACTTTTTCTTTTTCTTTATAAAAAAATCGAACAAACTGGATAGTAAGGTATGCTGGAAGCCGACTTATTAAGGACTAAATTAACAAACTGAATGATAAAAGGTACCTGGTACCAAAAGTTAATTTTATAATGTTAAAAATAATTTTTCTAAATAAATTTTAAAACAAATACAAACATGCTAAAATAAAAAATACTAAAATATATAAAAAAAAAATTAATACAAAATATACATACACTTTTTGTATATAATGCATCTTTTCCTAAAACTGGAGAAGCTTTCGTGATAGTTTCTTTTAACCTCTGTACAAAATTTTTTTCATAAAGTCTAAATCTTTTTTTTATAAATATTTTGTAGTCAAATAGCATTTAAAAAAAAAAAAAATAACATTGTGAAAAATTAAAAAAACTTACTGATTTTAACCCACTGTTTAAATATTTTATATCTAAATAAAAATTATATTTAAAAAAAAGTAGTAACTTTCACTCACATTTTTTATTATACTAACACAAATAACACTAATACAAGTACAAATAAATAACACTAATACAACACAAGTACACACAAATAACACTAAAGAAATACAAGTACACACAATTAACACTAAAGAAATACAAGTACACACAATTAATACTAAACACATATTACCCTTAATTTACTAAACACATATTACCCTATATGTCAACATTAAAAAAAAATTATATAGAAATATAAATAAAAATTATATAGAAATTATATAGAAAACCAGAAAAAGTTTAAAATCTCAAACGAAAATTTCTTTAAATTGATAGATTGCCTGCCCAAATATAAACCCTCAGTTAATGTTATGCTTTACCAGAATTACTGTATTTTCTAGAAACTTTTAAAAGTTTTTTGATAAAAGCTAGAAAAACTAAATCCTGTAGTAATATTCATAACAAATATATATACAACACGATTATTCCATATAAAATCATCTTGGTTTTTAAAAATATCAATTTAATATTGCTTTAAATTTTGACCACCCACAGATTTTATGTAAAAAAACACAAGCCTAAAACTTCATTGATCAAAATCAGTAAAACATTAGTTTCTGGAGATTAAAGATTTTTTTTCTGGAGATTAAAGATTTTTTTTCTGGAGATTAAAGATTTTTTTTATGTTTGATGGATCAATTGACTTAGTAAATAATAAGTTTTTACAATTGCTTTTAATTTCAAACAATTTCTGAGTTTTTTTTTACTTCAAAGTTCTTAAATAAAATTAAGAAACCTTTCAAACTTTGATTTGCTACAGTTTCACTACTGAAGGACCAAATTTTTGTTAAGTTTGGGTCAGGTAAAGTTTAGTACTTAGAGCAACCAATTGTGGTAAAATTGAAAATTATGCATTAAAAGTTGAGTAAACATTTATGGCAAATATTGCTTTTTCTGGATTTTAGTATTTTATTTAATATTGTACGAACCAAATATTCAGAAAGTTTTATGTAGGTAAAAATTGCTGTACAAAGAATGTGCATTTTGAACACCAAGTTCTAAATGAAAGATTTCAATTTGATTATTTTATTAATGAAAATAGTGACTTATAATTAATAAATATAATGAAAATAGTAAGACTTATAATTAATAAAAATAATGAAAATAGTAAGACTTATAATTAGTAAAAATTTTTATATAAAGATTGTGACAAGATGTTTCATTGTAAACAAAACTAGAAAATATTGTAAACAGATACTGATGTTTTAATAAAAAATATATGATACAATTTTGAACCAAACAAGAAGATATCCTTTCAACATGAAAAAGTCTATATTTTTAGACTTTTTTTGAATTGTTTCTACAATGCGCTACAAAAATACAGTAGTGATTGGTTTCAAGTCCACCAGAAAAAAGAGTATCAAGGGATTATGTAAAGCTAACATATCAACAGCAAGTCAATCTAAAATCAAATCAGACTTTTTTTCCTTTATTGGGAATATCATCTCTTGATATTGGTAAGCATGAAAAATTAGGGTACTGAGGAACATGAACAAAAATGCAACTGTAATGCATAAACTATAATGATTTAGACTTTTAGGTGCAATAAAAAAGTACAGTTACAGCAATAACCCACAAAAGTTGGGTAATTGAAAAAACTTGCAAAACATCAGTTTTAAAACACCTGTTAGGAAATCCCAAAAGTTGAAAGATGAAAGAGACATACTTGCTAAACATAAAGATAAAAAAAGGACGACCTTAAAAAAATACAAAAGTTTAAATAATAAATATTATGTGTAACATTTATACTTTTTCTTACCAAGAATTTGAAGACCAAAAACTGCGTTCCCAGCATTAATTGCTTCATTGGCATATTAACATTTTTTTACACTTTTTTTAAGCTTTTAAAAAAACCTTTGTAAAAGCTTAAAAACATATATATATATATTTTTTTCGCATTATTTTTTTAACTTTATACTTATTAATATTTAAAGTAATTTTTTTGTAAGAAGACAATAAAAAGCAACTAATTGTTTTTTTCACAAAAATACTCTTGTAGTTAAAACCAAACTACCTGCAATCAATCCAGTGAAATGATGGTGCAACATTACACAATACCCCAGTGAAATTCTTTAGATGGTACAGTACCAAAATTATGTCTACTAAACTCAATTTATCACTTAATCACAAAAAAATATTGAGCATTATTTCTTTACATCATCATATGGCAAACTTTCATGTTATGGAATAAGACCTAGAAAATAAAAAAACAGCAAATCCTAATCTACAAGTAGCAATTTCTGACATCACATGGTCTGTTTATATGGGCGGAAAGCATTAAAGATGTTAACATATTTCATCTTTCAAGCAATGATATTAATAACCATAAAACCTATTTTAACCTCCAGAAGGAATGTGTACAACCGACACAAGAAGCTGTTTAGTACCAGAGAAGTTAAGAGAGTTTTTAAGTCTTCCTAATTTTGCACTATTTAGCTGCTTTGAGGTAAAAAAAACTTTTATAATTGCTTGAAATAAATTTCATAATACCACTAATTTTTATTTAAAAAAAAAACAATTAAAAATCACAAAAATCTACTGTAAGCTCTAGATTTTTAATTCTTGTATAATTTTGCAACTAAACCCAAAACTCCAGTTACTTAATGGAACATATACTGTTGAAAAAACCTCCTGAAAAGACAAAATTAGTTGAATAGTTATCAAAACAATTAGGTACCTAATATAAAAGCAGGTAAATTTTGACTCAATCTTAAGTTTTTAATGGATGGGTCGATCAAACTAAGTTGCATTTTTTACATATAATCTTTTACTGTCAAAATTTGAAGTAAATCTGAGGTGATACCCATTGGTGATTGATATGAAATGATCTAACAATAATATTTAAAACACAATAAATAATAAAAAAACTAGAGTTGCTTAGAAACATAAATTATTGAAAATAAACCTTGAGAAATAAAGCAACTAAGCTGATAAAAATGTTCTGTTAATGTTGTCTCAGCTTCCAGGTCTGTTTCATCACATTTTAGACTTGAATCAAGTTAAGTAAAAGTAATCTATTATTTTTTACACAACAACAGCAAGATAAAAGTGCTACATTTTAATTTTTCTGAAACATTTTAACTTTTTATAACAATCTATAGGTTAAAAAAGTTTAAATGTTAAAAATTTAACATTTACAAACAGATGTACCATTAGGGCTATAGATATTAAAAACAAAGATTAAAAACAGAGGTAACTAGCCGATTCTCCCATATTGCTAAAATTATTATGGATTTTTACAATTTATATTAACTTCATTCATAAATAGATATAATTTCATTAAAAAATTCTGATTTCAGACAAACAAAATTGTCTTTTAAATTATCTTTTTGAACTTTCTTTAAATAAAATGCATACACCAGCTTGTGGATCAACTATGTAGGACCAGTCATTTGATTTTAAAGGGATCCCAAACCTCAGGGACATGTTGTCTTCATATTAAAGAGAATGATGAAAAAAACAAAAACATATGGGCTAGAATTTTTTAATTAAATCAAAAGTATAAATGCATACCTAGAAAAGTTAACTTTTTGGTTTTAGTCAAAGCTCGCCTTCTCCGTTTTGTTGTCGTCCAAATAGACTTAATAATATATGTCGCAATCTACAGACTTGATAATTTATTCAAGCACGTTTTATTTGTGTGAGTTTTAGTACATGACATCATTAATTTTTTTGTTTGTTAAAAAGATCGATTTTTTGAATAAACAAAAAAATCAATGAAGCCGTGTACTAAAACTTGCACAAATAAAATGTGCTTGAATAAACTATCAAATGTATGCACTTATTCTTTTGTTTTAATCAAAAAAATTTAGCTAAAATATATATTTTTTTAAGGTTGCAGATGGTTTTTAAATTGATTAGTTGCCAAACAGGGCATAAGAATATAGAAAAATATTGGTGACTGGGTCCAGACTTTTCAATCAGTTTTCAATTCGATATGCTGAAATGATTTTCAAATAGAATGGTTATACTAAAAAAAAAAAAAAAAAAATTCTGCTGGAAATCTATATAATTTATTGTTATAATTAGTGATGAATCAAACGAGGGTAGAAGGAGGGACGGACTCGAATCCAAAGAAGAAAGGCCAAATAACCATTTTGCTTGAAAACAGTAGACTGAATAGAAAAAAATTGCTAAAAAACTGAATGTTTCTGTACAAGCTGTAAGTTTGATGAAGAAGACACTTCAAGAGTTGAAAATGCAGGCCTACACCAAAACTTAATTAAAAAAATATGGCCCAAAAGAACAGAATGATCTACTGTAAATAAATTGTGATGGAATTGATGAACTTTTATGCAATCATATCTTTGAACATGAAGCCATTTAGAAATTGGACTGAAAGTAAGTGCCAAATATTCAATATTTTGTTTAAAGGGTCATATCTTTTTCAAGCAGTTTTTTCTGACGAGTCTACAATCGTAATCTTAGTTGATAGAGTCCAAACAGTTGGAAAAAAAGTCAAGAGAAGAGTTTAAACCTGACTGCTTGAAGAAGACTGTGAAATTTCCAACAAAGATCATGGTCTGGAGAGCTATATATGTGTAAGCCACAAGTCGTTGAAGGGACATGGACCAGAAAAACTACATCAAAGCGCTAGAATGTCATCTAGTTCCTCAAGCCAGGGAGTGGTTTGGTAATAGATAGATTTTTCATCCCACACTGGAAGAAAATCAAGAGTGGTTTTTGAAAAGTTCTATAAAGTACTTAAATGGCCTGGAAACTCTCCAGACATGAATCAAATTGAGAACTTATGGAAGCAATTAAAAGATAAGATCCACACTGTGCCCGTTACAATAAAAATCAAACTGAATGAACACTTAATTTAAGTATGGTCTATGCCTAACCATGTTATTACCCTAAAATTGGCCAAACTAAGCACTGAAATGTTTGGTGGATTATATGAGATATTATAAAATATGACTCATTTAATATATGATCTTATAAGTTAATCATGAAATAAAGTAAAAGTATTAAAAATTTTAAAAATCAATAATAATTTTAGCAGAAATGTATTAAAATGACAAAAATTGCAATAAAACTAATTGTTAAGGAAAATAAATAATTAAAATAAAAAAGATAAAATCACAAAATAATACAAAATATAAAAAAATATAAAAGATACACAGTCTTGAAAGATATACCTAAAAAAAGAAAAGAAAATTAAAGTAATTTTTTATACAATATCTAAACTATTTATTTAAATTAAATAACAAAAGTAGTTTCTGCAAAGCAATAAATTCTTCTGGAAAATAATATTATATATATAGGTAACATCATTTAATCATATTATTTTATCATAGTAACATCATTTAATCATATTATTTTATCATAGTAACATCATTTAATCATATTATTTTATCATAGTAACATCATTTAATCATATTATTTTATCATAGTAATATCATTTAATCATATTATTTTATGTTTTATCTATATTATTTATTGGAATTAAAACCATATTTTCTGATTGGTTGATTCTGATGGTTTTATCATATACAGGTTTTTTGATTTGCTACATACTGCAGAGCATTCTTTTGGGTTTACTCAAATAAAAAAGTCTTTTAGGTTTACTCAAATAAAAAAGTCTTTAAATATTTAACAAAATTAAAAGCTTTAAAACTTATTTAGTTGTGAAAGATAAAATAAAAACTAAATGATTCATAAGAAGCTATCACAGCAGTAGCTTACTTCACTATTTTTTTCTTTCTTTTTTTTTTATTCTCCAATATTATTATATATTTCTCCAAATATTTGTACACAATAAAAAATTCTCAATAATGAAAAGAAGTCATCTTATAATAATGAAAGATTCTAGTAAACATTCGAGTGACTAACCCACCCCCTTCTTTTAACTCAAAAATATTCTACAAAAATGATTCTCGTTATTTTTCTAGACATCTATCCTTTTAGATTTTTACTCAACAACCTTATCCACAATCTGTTCTTCTCCTCTCATATGTTTTGGTGCTCTAGAGACCAGGTAACAATGAATATTTTCAAAAACTTTTAGTCTTGTGGAGGGTTTCTTTTCTTGCTTTTTATTGTAAGTCTACTATTATTGCTACAAAATTTGGCCATTTAACTACTTTTTGATGAAACTTTTTTAAACAGATATGAAGTTGAAAAACTACTTAATCATGTTTTTAAAAATTTCTTTTTATTTATCTATCGAATGATCGAACTCGGAACCACTCGTTTATGAAGCAAGCGCTCTACCACTACACCACTACTGCATTAAACCACTACGGCACTACACCACTACCGCCTCCATAAATATTTAATTGATGGATTAGAAATTTATATGTATGGAATACTGTTACTTGAATGGAATACTGTAGCCATATCTGGAGCGGATCTTTGAATGATGTCCTTTCTCTTTAAGACAAGGTGCAAAAACGCATTAAACAAAGTTGGATCTGCTCTTGCAGCAAAAATTTATTCTCGTGTAACTCATCATTCAATTAAGTCTAATCCTTTAACTGTGACTGTTCCTAAGTGCTCCGAAAATTCTTAATTATCTAGTTTTTTACCTCGAATATCAGTTCTTTGGAATTTGCTCCCTTCATCTTGTTCTCCTGATTTATATAATTTGCAATCTGTTGTCTGTTAATCGTTTTCTTGCTTTAAAGATTTTATCTTTTCTCTTCCAGTAACTTCCAACTCTAATAGTAGTTGCTTGCAGCCTTGTTGGAAGTAAAGATATTTTAAAAAATTTCTGTCAATACACATATTTTTTTTTAAATTTCTAACCATTTTTTTAACTGAAATATGTTCTTAAACTTTAAACAAAGGAGTTACTATTTTACGTTTTAAAATGTTTAAATTTTTGTTTTAAATTTAATACATTTTGATTTGGACTACAGGTTTAATTTTGTTTATATTTGATTAGGCATATATTTGTATATATTTATACTCATATATATTTTATTATTTTCGTTTTCTTATTGTAAACAAAAAAACATTGTATCATTAGTAGTTTTAATGAACCTTTGATTGGTAATTGGTTGTTTAATGAATAAACCTTTGATTGTTGATTGGTTGTTTAATGAATAAACCTTTGATTGTTGATTGGTTGTTTAATGAATAAACCTTTGATTGTTGATTGGTTGTTTAATGAATAAACCTTTGATTGTTGATTGGTTGTTTAATGAATAAACCTTTGATTGTTGATTGGTTGTTTAATGAATAAACCTTTGATTGTTGATTGGTTGTTTAGTGAATAAACCTTTGATTGTTGATTGGTTGTTTAATGAATAAACCTTGTGAAATGACTCTTTTTGATTGTTGGTTGTTTGTTTACTAATTTACTTTGTCTGAAGAAGTTAACATTGAAATTTTCTCTTTTTTTCTTTTTGGTTCATTTTAATCTTAAGACTTTTTCAATACATTTTTATCGGTAAAATTTTTATTTTATTTTTCAGAGTAATTGGAACAAGAAGCCATTTTATTTAGTTCAATTCACTATATCACTTATACTTTTTTGTCATGGTTAGAATTTAAAGGATTAATGAGTAATTTTGAACAGGCAAAATGTCAAGAGTAAAAAAATTACTAAAAAAAAAATTAAAATAATAACAAAGAATTAAAATGCTTTTATTAAATTTCATTTTTGTTTTGTTTTTATTGCTTAAAACAAATTTTTTTTAAACCACAAACAGACCACAGACCTTAGAACTTAATATTTGTAGATTTATATTTGTAGATTTGGTAGCAGTATATATATTTTTAAAAAATACTTTAGTCTCAATTAAATCCAATATCAATGAATTTGTTTAATATTCATATTAAGTACTTTGAAAACTTTTGTTTTTTAGGTGGTGTCAGAAGCAGCTGTAACTCTGGTTAATAATGTTGTATCCTTTAATAAACTCATTCTTAAAGACCAACACTCTTTTTCATTTCTAGTAACTTCTGGTGTACCTTAAGGCTCTATCCTTACATCTAAAGTGGCTTTATTTACTGACAATTCAACTTTATAATCCTGTCTTGACAAAAAGACTTCACTTTTAGATAGCAGAACATCTTATCTTGAATGAGAACTCACTTCTGTAATAGCTTGGGGTTTGCAATGGCTTGTGAATTTTAACTCCAACAAAACTCAGCTATTTACTGCAAACAACTTTTGTAATACTTTCAACATTCCTACATTAATGAATGGCATCCTTTTCGCTGAGTCCTCGCCTTTACATCTTCTTGCCTTTTTTGGATTATCATTCACTACTAACCTCTCATGGAAACCATAAACATTACTCTTGATTCCATTCTCTACCTCTACAAATCACTTATTCACCCCTGAATATAAAACTTTTGTCATGTTTATGCTATTTTTTTTTATGATACTCTTTCTTTTCAGGATAATGTCCAAAAACGCATTGTAAACATAGTTGGACTTGCTCTATCTGTCAAGCTTGAGCCACTCTCCCATCAATGTAAGGTTGTATCTCTTTCATGATCGCTACTTAATAGAGCTGTCATAAACAAGGCCTTGTTACAATTTATAATATTGGTCAGAAAAATAAAACCTTTTGTTCTTAGTAAGTGACTGGGGCCCCGGCTAAAAATGAGACTTTTTTCAAACCCGGCCTCATAGCCGAGGCTAGAAAAAAATTTATAATACTTTATATATTATAACTTTATGCTTACATTTACTATTTATTAAATACTGGCATATATTTATATATTTTCAATTTTAATTTACTTCCAACAAGATTGCATGCAACCACTATAAAGTTATGAGTTACTTTAAAATAAAGAATAAGTAAAATTACTATGAAATGGTTAACTGAAGACTTGAAAAGCTGTAGGTTATATATAAAAGAAAAACATGAAGATGGCTAATATTTACAAGGTTTTTTTGATGTGCAAGGAAAAAAACTGGATTAATAAAAGTTTTTATAGCATGAAGGGTCAGATAGAGTAAAAGGATGCAACTTGTTGAATAAAAAACAAGCAAGAATGAGTTTTGGTTTATCATATTAGAGATAATAGCTTGTTTGAGGATTGACCATGATGGTATTTGTAGAAAAAAGAAAGACATGCAACCTTACAACAATGGGAGAGTGGCTCAAGCTTGGCAGATAAAGCAAGTCTAACTTTTTTTTTTTTTAATGTTAATTCACCTCCCCAAGGCTGAAAACACCACTACATATGAGGAGGCTACTTAATTTTGGTTATAACCCTTTATCAACTACATAACTCCAAAACATGAACCTTGACAACCAAGGCTGAAGCGTGGAGAAACAAGTTGAGCATGGTACTACCAGGGAAGTGGTTTGGATCAAAACCTCCCGCTTATGACATGAGCGCTCTACCACCACACCCAGACGCATTACATTTACAATGTGCTTTTAGACTTTGTTTGAGAGTAAGAGAATTGTTATTCATCAATATAGGAATACCAACATTATTGCAAAATTTTTTGCAGTAAATGAGTTTTGTTTTCTAACAAAAATTGCAGATTTTAAGTCTGGAATTTAAATCCATAAGCCAAGGCTGTTACAGAAGAGAGATCAGATTAAAATCAGCTGCTTGTTCTAAGCAATCAAAAAGTGAAGATTTTTTGTCAAGACAAGGGTATAAAGTTGAGTCGTCAAGAAATAGAGCCACTTCAGATGTTAAAATTTCATAAAGATTGATATTGTTGATAAGAAACAATACAGAAGCAAAGATTTAAGGGTACCACAAGATACCTTGTGGTATCCTTAAAGTTACTTGAAATAAAGTAGATTGTAAGCCTTTAAGAATAACTTTATTACTGCAATTAGTAAGAAATAATTTAATAATCTCAAAACCTTTATATAAAAAAACTAATAACAGAGTGAAGACTTGTAGGATAGTTGGAGAGGTGTTTTACTACAGTTTTGAAAAATTGGAACAACTTATTTAGCACTTTTTAAAAATTAAATATTATATAATTAATAAGATTAAATGTTAGACTTACTTTAGTTAATGACATTGTTGAGGACTAACCAAAAGTCTCTAGAACCTAACATCTGATATAAGATACAAGATTTAGTAAACTGAGAATAACAGCTTAACATCAGACAGAACCTTTTTACATTGACTTCTTGGAATAATAAAAAGGCATTTGTTCTTAAGAGAGATGTTCTTGTAAAAAAGATGAAATAAATGATTAATAAAG